GATTTTGTCGATTTAAATTTATATACCAGTGTAAAAAGTCTGGTTTTTGTTGCTTGTTGGTTACAGCGAAAAATTAACCAATTTATTTTTGTATATTTATTTAAATTTAAAACAAAAAATTTATTTTAAATTTAAGCATACGTAACATGTGTCTGAAAATTTAGCTAACACACGACTTACATGATGAGCTTTTTACCATGCTGTGTTTTATATATGTAAATGTTTACTGTAAAGATTTAATTTTTTGTTTGTTTCCCATAGATGTTACTAATGAGTGCGAATATGCAGCGCTAACTCAGGTCTCTACAGGACCTCTTACTGCCTGGTTCGCCTTGAAGCTCTGCGAGCGACTAAGAAACTGTGAGGAGCTGACTCTTCATTTAATTGGAGCCGAGATCGAATTCGAGGTGGATATGTTACAGAAGTGGGAACTCTTCCTTCTCCACATAATGCCTACGGTGAAAACTCTGAATGTGGTTTTCATTGGGCCCGAACTCAATCCCAATAATATATCCTTTGAGCAGCTAAAGAAAATCAAGTGAGCCAGAGAAATGTTACTATTTTTGAGATATATTATTAAAAGTTAATCATCCATTTTAGATGCTGTCGTTTGTGCCGGAAAGCGCAGAGGACTGTAAACTATCACTTTGAGAATGGCTTGTACCACGATTACTGCAAGGAATCGCATTTTCTTCAACCGAATTTGGGTAGGTTTTTCCTTTTTTTACATTAATTAAAGTTTAAATCAACAATTCCTCTCAACAGTTTGCTTTTTCAACTCTGGTCTATACCGATCGACTGGATTCGCCCTTGAGGATACTTGGCCTGACACCATACAAGCAGCACTTAATATCAAATGCCCTATTGTAGTAACCTCATACACAAAGTATGAGGCTCCTTTGGACATGGTGCACTTTATCAATCAATCAAATCGTCATTTAAATGTCGTATTACCACCGACAACAAATCCGTTTTCTTCGGAGAAGCCTGAACGTAATTTTATATCAGACGATGAAACGCCTTTTATGTTTAAGAACTTTTATTGTTTTGTTGTTGAGTGAATGGTTGAAAAGAAATATACATTTGTTATACACATCTTTGGCGTATACAAAAATTTGGAAAACTTTTTCGGCTTAAGATTATAAAAGTGTGTGGATGGGTTAGCTTTTAATCGATTATCGATCCTTGGCCAAAATCTACACTTCAAAAAGAATAATTGGTTAATACTTAAAAAATATGTTTCTTGAAAAAAGAGTAAAACATATTTCAGCAAAATAAAAGTTTGCGAAAAATATAGCACAAATTTGAAAATTCTATTCCAAGAAAACTTTGGATATTAAGATTCTTATTAAATCAAAATTATTGTAAACTAGACATGCTCCATGAAAAATATTTTGTTAAGTTGGAATTAGCTTGCAATATAATATTTAGAATCTGTTTTTGCTTAGAATCCTATTATTTTTTGATCATATAATCTACGTTATAATTCATTTGAATTTCCGTTACGAATAATTTAAAATTAATTCTAATTTAAATTATTCAACAACCCAACGTACAACGTTAGCCAAGACTTGAACCAAATGACATGCATTTTTTTTAGAACATTATTCTTGGCAAAATATATTATTTCCCAGATAGAAGACGGTCACACTGATTAGATTTGTTTGACTCTTGGCGCATTACATTTTCTTTATTTATTGCGTTTTAGAAAGTTTATTGTCTACTACTATTGTTTACCCATGAATATAAACGATGGCGACTTCAAGGATCTGCGCTGCAAGCTGGACATCATGGGTTTCACCCAGACATTGCCCGTTTTGGCCATTCCATTGGTTCAGGTGACATTGGCATACCCTGTTTTATTTTCTATTGTTTGGCATAACGCGTTCTTCGTTCATTTTGCAGGCGGTTTTTGGTGACTTAATTAAGACGACAGAATGTCTGAGGGACACGAAAAAGAAGGTCGCCGAGTTGCTGGAGGTGGTTAAGTAAAGTCTACATAGTTTATACCCTACCAAATGAAGGGTACTATAATTTCGACACCAACTTGGCGTCGCGGTCGCTCCAACCTTAAAGCATATATTTTCATGATCTTTGAAAACTATAACATTAATTTAAATTAATTTAATTTAATTTATTTGACACAAAGAGGATCGGACCGTGTACCAAAGTGATTTAAAAGAAAAATGATCTGGCCAATTTAAATTAAATTTAGATAAGATCCAAGTAATATATCATAAATCCTAAAGGTAAAATTTAGCTAAATTTGCATAAGTAAGCTGTCAATCAATATGAAGGCATAATTTAATTTTATATAATATAATATAATTTTTTTTTTTAATGGTTCGTTTGAAAGAAATGTCTTATGAAACTTATGATCGTTTAAATTGGGCAAAATCGAAAGACTTATGTTGCAACTTAACTGCAAGGATATAAAAACTTTGGCTTACTGAAGCCAACTACCTTTCCCATTTGTTGTGCTTTAATTGGTTGCTAAGCAAACCCTCTGTTGTGGCTTTCGTTTCGGCAGGAGAAGACCTGTTGGGAGCTGGGCGTCGAACCGTACAAGTGCGACAACTCTCGCCTGCTGGCCGAGTGTAATGAACTTCATTTGCAGTTCTTGAGGGACAGGGAGGACTACGAGCTGCGCCTGTGCGGTAAGTGCCAATCGATTCAATCAGCTTTCATTTTTAAACTAACTTTATAATATCTATTTGCAGAATCCGAACGCAAGATTCGAAATCTGGAGACGGACAAGCAGCACTTGCAGAGCCACAACGATGGACTTCAAAGCCAACTGGATGCTCTGCTCACCAAGCAAATGGTTTCATCCACCGCGGTGAAAAAGGTGCCATCTGGCATTGGTCGGCAAAGTAGGTTAAAGTCATAGCCATCATTAAAATTCTTTTGTATGAAAAGTCTTAGCTGTAATAGCTACTTTTCTAGACAACCTCTAATACGAATCATCTACTTTTTGTAGCCAAGAAGCCCTTTATAAGCACAGTGCGCTCTGGCAATGTGCTGCCCACTGTGCTGGGCACCGGCATCTCGAACCTTAAGTGCACAAAATGCAATGCTGGGGTATTCCAAAGGACCACCACAACCACCAAGGATGGTGTGACGGTCACACAGACGAGTGGCCAGGAGGAGCTGGACAAGATGCAGAACGATCTGACGGCGGCGGGAGAACAACTGGAGTTCTACAAGCGCAAAGTGGAGGCCAGGAATCGGGAGATAAGTCGACTTAATGATATGCTAGCAGGGGGACGACCGCCGGCAGCTTTGGCCAAAGACTGCTGCTACAAGGAGGTGGGCGCCCTGTCCCAGGACATTGATCTGTTGCAGCGCGAAAAGAGCGATCTGATGTTGCAGGTGCGCGACTTTCAGGACAAGATGCACGATGCCATGCAGCGGGCTCTGGGCTCCGAGGAGGATAAGCGGAAGCTGCAATCGCAGCTGGAGGAACTCAAGGAGGCGGCACTGCAGGTGGAACAGCAGGCCAATGCGGAGATTGATGCCAAGGAGCTGGAACTACGACATCTGCACTTGGAACTTAAAAAAAAGGGCAGGGATCACCGACTGGCCGGTGGATTTGTAACCACTCAAAGTGACAAGCAAAATCTTAACGAACGCCTAAAGCATCTAACACGCCGCGAAGAGGAACTGGAGGCCAGCAATGAGAAGCACAAGAGGAAACTGCTCAAAATGCAGGCCAAGATCTTGGAGCTGCAAAAGGAGCTCAAGGATCAGAATAAACACACCACTGTCACTCTGGACGAGGACAAGATACGCCTGACATCGGAGCGCGACTTCTTCCAGAAGGAGTATCTGCGTCTGATGAGCAAGTCCGGCTCGGAATCGGAGATAGCCTTTCTGCATGCCCAAATCAAATCCAAGGATGATGAGCTACGAGCTCTTCGAAACGAATTGTTTCCCGGTGCAAAGCTGCAATTCTCGCCACAGAAAAGCGTACAGTATGAGACACTTCCGCCACCGACCACCGCTTCCTCCTGTACGTCCACCGCGAACAGCAATCGGAGTGACTGCGTCCAGGCGGCCATCGGAAGGGTGGAGCGCGAACGGGACTGTGCTCGGTCCGAACTGGAGCGCGTTCGCTGCGAGCGGGACACGCTGAGGGAGAAACAGCTGTGCAGCGTGCAACTTCACGCCGAGGAGCTGCAAGCTCTACGCATGCGCAACGATGAGCTCAACGATCGACTGCGTCAGCTTGAAAGGGACAATAGGGATCTGAACTCGGCTCGCCTGCCGGCGGAAACCAATCTAGTGCTGCTCAAGGAGGATTTGGTTCAGATGCGAAACCGCATGGCCACTATGCAAACCGAAATTGATCAGTTGAAAACGGAAAACAGTCAAATAACGTAAGTTTGTTGTCTCTGTAAAATTGTTATTTATTAACTCGTGTTAAATTTATTTTATAGCATGCTCAACGATCAAAATGAGCGCATTATAGCGGACTATAAGAGTAAACTTCTGGTGGCCGAGCGTCACCGACAGACGGCTGATGTTCGAGCTAGCACCTTGGATTCCAGTCGAGAGTCCAATCGCAACGAAGTCACCCAGCTCCGCACGGACATTGGAGCTCTGCGGCAGACATACATTGCATTGGAACACGAGAAGGACACGCTACTGGTACTTAAAGTTGATTGTATTTTTCTTTAGATTTTAATACTGATTAATCTCTTTAAACAGCATCAACTGGATAGCAAAACGGAACGCGCTTATAAACTGGAGTATGAACTAAAGGATTGCAAGGAGAAACGGAATGCTCTGGAGCAAAGCGTTAAGGAATTGGAGGAACAAGTGCGGTGAGTTGGAAAAGATCATACTTTAGCTGTATAAAATCGGCAATTATTAAAAGTAGTTTTATTTTGTATACAAATTTCAAATTACCTTTTATCAAAACATCCTTCTTGTTGCCCCTCAAATCCAAGCCCCTCTTAAAACGTTGAAATATGTTTTTTTTTGTTAAATATCTAATGGTCTTTCACATTGTTTTATTTGCCTTATCGGGAGTTCCCTTAAATACAACTCGTACACAAGTCGATGTAATACATTCATGGCACAATCTCATCTTATCGAACACGTTAACCGAATATTTCTAAAAACCACCTAAAAGAGAACAAAATGGTTAATTGAATAACAAGTGATCGTAGCGATCAAATAACACTCAGCATGCAAACAGAAAACACAAAACAGAGAAGAGGGGATAGAATAGATTGGAGTAGGGAGTCATGCCAAGTGGGTGTGTGGGAGTATAGGAGTCATCACAACCAGATAGAGGATAGCTTGAAGATTTGGGGGGTGTTTAGATGGCCCCACCAAGGTGCAGATCATTGAGGAACTTTGAGTTGAGTCGCTCGTTGGTTAAATACCTCGCCAAACTGACACTCGGCGCGCTGCAGTTGCTCATGCCGCGCTGATCCGCCTCCGTGGGCGTGTAGCCCGGCCGGCAGACGCACTTGGCCCGGCTGGCATGGGCCACAATCGAAGTGGTGCCATCCGATGATTGCGTTTTCAGCGGCTCCAGCCACTGACCCGCACCGCAGGGTCCTCGACTGTACAGTTTGTGGCACCGCCCATTGATCTCCACCATTCCGGGCGTGGACTCGCATATATTCTGCTCCCTATTCGCTCCCTCACCCGAGCACTGCTGGTCCAGATTGGTGAGCACCCCCGAACAGCCACACATCCCGTTGTAGGAGATGCCATCGATGGACGGCCGGGCGGTGAAGTCAAAGATCACCACTTGGTGCAACGCACAGGGGCCTTGAGATCCAATCCTGTAGCAAGAGTCCTCTGCCGGAAAGTACAGACGATTCTTGCCGCAAATGTTGCGCACACAACTGGTCCCGTTGACCAGGAACTCGTTGGAGCCACAGGGACCCCGTGTGTACAGGCGATAGCAGATGCCATCGCTCCAGGGCACATAGCCCTCCTTGCACTGGCACTGCGCACGGGGCAACAGCTGCAACAGGGGAGTGCCGGTCGTCTCCTGGACATCGTCTGGTATGCGGAAGATGTGGCCAGGTGGACAGGGTCCAGGGGTATCTGGAAAGGGGAACAGGGAACAATATTACAAATGACAAGAAAATAAATTGAGCGGGAAATGTAATACAACACTTCAGAGGCAGTCATTACTTTATGAATTTGGTTTATCCCTGCATGGAAAAGAATTAGGGAATTTATAAAGGCTGCAACGACTAAGTTGGTCTGTGCATTTAATAAGTATAAGTAAGAGTATTGGATTTTTAGCTACCTATAAATTAACACAATTAATCAAAGTGTTTTTATCACACTTTCACTTCCTGGGGAGTGAAATCGACTATAATAGGACAACTTAGTTTCTTCTGAACTTCAAATCAGATTCACCAACTATCCAACTGATCTTAATATAGAGGAGTTCCAACGCACTGCTTCAATATGTTGAAAGCTGACTTGTCTTAATAAATCCATTATTTTAACTAATGAAATCTAATTACACTCAGCAAACGAAATTCTTTGAATTTAGAAAAAAAATTCCCTCAATTTAAAGAATAACTGCCTTAAATTTGAGACTTTAATACAAAATTTATAAAAAAAACATGACCTAAAACGATTCTTAAGAAAATTATTGCCTTGTTTGTTTTTTGTTTTTTGAGTGAATAATATCAATGTTCAGGGTCAACTCTCCATAAAAGCTCCGCTTTTGTATTTCGTGTTCTACAATGTGTATGTAGTTTTTAAGTAATCATTGCCTTAACTAACTGCCTTTGAAGTGTGGTATCACACTAAGAATTGCCGCAACCCAAACCCAATCCTACCCAGCTCGTAGCACATTTGCTGCGGAGGATGATAGTGCGGCAAGTGCCGCTGGCAATCGCATCGGCCGCCGGGCAAGAAGATGTGACCCGGCGTCGAGCAGGGTCCTTTGGTGTAGTGCTCGTAGCAGGACTCCTCCGCCGGATAGTAGAACGAGGACAGCTCGCCCTCATTCTCGCAGCGGCACTCAGCTAGTCCGTCCTCGTTCCGAACCAGCAGTTTTCCACGACTGCATGGACCTTTGGTGTGCCTCGCATAGCACTTGTTGTCCTTCGGCCAGAAGATCATGTCCTCCGGGCAGTGCAGTGGTCGCTTGCAGGTGCCCCAACGATTGCCTGATCTGGAAAGGATTGGGCAGAATTTTTGCATACACAATTAGTTAATTTGTTCAAAATTCATGGGTCTTTGGTGGAGTACAAGACTCAAGGATCAAGGATTTTTTCGGGTTCAATGGATTTATATATGTTTTATTGGTCCAATATCAAGACGTTGACTAAACTTAATGCTTATACGATTTAACGTAAGTGCGAGCAAGACAAACGTATAACGATTCCAATGAGCAATGAATGAAGAAAATTGATATAACCCGATACCAGATGGTAAAATACTAGACGCAAATGGGTAAAAAAAAATAAAAAATACGATAAAATACCACCAGGGCCGATACAGCATAGAGCAAAATTGTATTTTTTAAATATAATTTTACTCATTCATTTGGGTTGACGACAAAACGAAATAAAAAAGCTAGGCTTAAATGTATACGAAATATTTTTTAACATTTAAAGATAACAACTGAAAACATTTAAACGTTAAAATTAGCGGGATAAACACAATATAAGAAAAAAAACCAATAAAGTTTAAATTTAAAGTTAAAAAGGCAGAAATCTCAAAAAGTATCCACTATAGTTGTCTCTGTCTCTGAGCTTCAATGAATCCCTCAATGAATGAGGCGAACAACGTAATGTTATACCCGTATAATCGAGTGATAAATAAAATTAAAAATACAAAAGAGTAACACTTTTGTTACCCCAACCCAATCAAAACATCATACACTTTTTTGAGCCATATAGGCCATGACAAAATTGCCTGGATTAGACACACAACAAAAACAATGGAGGAGGAGTCTTTATCAAAAGAATTATGTGAGCAGGGACCTTTGATGTCAGAAACTAATGGGCCAAAGACCAATGACGAGGACAGAGAACAGGGGGATGCATCGTCCTTCGATTGCAACATATGCCTGAGCGCGGTACAGGATCCCGTGGTGACCATGTGTGGTCATCTATTCTGCTGGCCGTGTCTGCATCAGTGGCTTCTGACTCAACCCAATCGGAAACTCTGCCCCATTTGCAAATCAGCCGTCGATAGGGACAGAGTGGTACCGCTGTACGGTCGAAATAATCCACGTCAAGCGGATCCTCGCGATAAAATACCACCTCGTCCCACTGGACACCGTTCCGAACCAGAAGTGGCACCAGCCCACGCCTACAGATTTGGTGGGCGTTTTCAGATGTCTATTGGTCTTGGATTTCCTTTTGGGTTCATAACTTCTTCTCTGAATTTTGGCGAACCTCGTCCTGCAGCTCGTAATCGTGGCACCCAGCAATTCCAGGATGAACAAAACCTCTCCAAATTATTTCTCTTTGTGGCCTTTGTGTTTATCTGCTGGCTGCTTTTTGTGTAGCAAGATGTGACCACTTCGAAATCATTCCCCAGGTGAAACATTCAAATTGGTGGTTTTTCAAAATACGTTGAGTGAAGTTTCTTTTAAAGTATATTCGGGGAATAAACGTTAAACGATATACGTTAAATTAAACAACCAAAAATGGCTTATTGATTTGATTATTATTAAATTATATAAAATAGGAAATTTGTAACTGGAAAAGTAAACACTGAAAACGTAATTTATAAAAATTATCTTTTGAGGAAGATTCACCACTAGTTGTTTGTTGTTTAATTTTTTTTTCTTTAATTTTTTTGTATATGATATAAATCAAAATTTAAAACTGGAAAAATTGAGTATAAAACACTGAAAACGTAATTTATAAATAAATTTTTTTGAGGTAGGTTCACCACTAGTTGACATATAAACTGCATTTAAAAATGACCGTGGCTCAGTTCTATAAACAAAATAAAAGTCAAGAACTTTAGTGAAAGTAACCTGGATCTGGCAATATTTAATTGCTTCAATTATTGTTTAAGTGCATTATAACTTTCTCCAGAACTATGGAAAGCGTTTGGAAGTGTAATTCACAGATGAAATCAAAAGTTGAGAACTTAAACCTTTGGCAAGTGAAAATGAGAGCAAGGCAGTCCACGTTTTAGTTTATTTTCCGGAGGGGGTGGAGAACTCACCTCTTGGCCTGATCCGGCATGGGCTGGAAGTACTCCTCGGGTTGGCAGGGTCCCCGTTCGTAGAGATTGTAGCAGACATTGTTGGTCAGCGGACTGAGTGCTGTGCCCGGTGGACATCGGCACTCGGCCGCCGGAAGATCCTTCCGCTTGGCACTCACCGCCGTTGGGCTCAGCTCCATGGTTTCCGGACACGGATAGCCCAGTGTGAAGATCTTGAAGCACTTCTTCAGTGGCGCCCAGTACAGAAGCTGCCAGCCACCTGACATGCTGGCGCATGGATTCTTGGTGGGATCACTCCACGGCGGTGGCACAATGCCGGCCGCCACCTGAGGCGCCCGCTGCCCGGTGGTCAGCAGGAGGAGCAGGCAGGTGAGGATGGAGCTGCCCGCCTGCAGAGCAGCCCAGCAGATGAGCACTTTGCGACGTCTCATGCTGGCACTGAAGTCGAAAGTGATTGATTATTGATTATCTGTCTGATACTGTTGTTTATCTAACTACAGTGAAGCTTCTGCAGCTTTTCCTTCGAGAAAAATATTAGTTTATATTTGTTTTAAGTAATTTACTACATGTCTGTCATTAAACATAATAGCGTAGACATAAATATAAATCTATTTATTTTTAATATCTATACTTACAAAATTAATGAGTTTAGTAAAAAAAAAATCTAATAATAATAATAAACCCATTTTCTCATCTTCATTGGTGAACATTTTTAAGATTCTATAGGCTACATTAACCTTACTATAAAGTCATGATGGTCAAGGTCGAAAGTTCTAAAGCGGTATCTATAGCATTTTTGTATTGACTAATCGAAATAGATAAAAGCAAAGGTGAAAAAACATCATAAAGCTGCTTATATTGTGTTTTACGATTATTAACCGTTTGTATAATCAATAAGTTATGCCATTTTTGAGGGTCATTTATTTTGCATTTTCTAACCAAAAACTAAGCATTGACGTTTCGTGTTAAACAAATAAAATAACGATATTAAATTTAATTAAGTTTAAGTTGGAGAAGTTGGACTGTAATTATTTTCCCTCTGCTTTACAAACACATCGGGGGTGGAAGCTCTCATTAAACCGGATGATGGATGACTTTTCCATTGTCGCCCGGTGCTGTTTAAAAATCAATTCACCGCTGCAGCGGAGGGCTTTAAAGCGGGTCCAATTGGAATTAGCCAACCCTTTGGGGCAACTGATTATCATGTTGGCCGGACACCACCGCAAAAACGGCCAAACGGCCAAAAAAAGGCAAAACCAAAACACTGAAAACCAGTAAACGGTTCGCGCGCGGTTAACCATGACCCAAATACCCATTTATCTTGACTTCTTTTCGCCTCAGCCGCCGCTGTCGGCTGGTCAGAAATCTTCTGCTCTTTTCCACCTGGTGGTCATAATCGAGGGGCCTGCTTATGTAACCGCCAGCGGATGATGAAACATGTGGCAGCAGCAGCAACTGCAGCCAGCGAAGCGATCACGCCGCCGGACACGAAAGGTGCCACACTCTTGGGCGGTACGAGTTGCGTGATTTAAGGCCCGTTTGGACCGCTGCCACTAGACGCTGCATTGGCAACTGGTTTTTTTTTTTTTTTTTCTGCGGCTTACTGATGTAAGCCGGTCTGCTCCAGCGTTTGATTCTGGCTTTCCCGGGATTCTTCGCTTTCGGCCCATTTACTTCACTCGATTTGCGCACCTTTCGTAAGCGCTTTGTTAACATACAAACTGGATTTAATTTGATTGCATTTATATAAATCAATTAGGCCGTTCAGTGGGATCAGCTTTTTGTGGCTTTGCTATTTTTCTGGCACTTTTTTGGTTATTTTTTTTAGATCTTATCCTTTTTTGGCATTCAAACACATACTTTAAGTAATTGTTTTTGGCTAATCATTTCATGTATAGTGTAAGCCAAGTAAGGGTTTTAAATTGTTTAAGGTATTTTATTTAGTTTTGATTACATCATTTAATTTTCTAATTTATGGGTAGACTTGTTTTATATTTTGTTCAGATTTTATTATATTTTTTGCGACCATTTACTTTTTGTTAGCACAAACTGGATGTAATTCAGATACCTTTTTTAGTAGAAAATAAATATTGGTTTGATACACGTCATAAAAATAATTTATATATTTAGTCATGGCTTTTTTCTAAATATATTCTGCATAATGGAAACTTCCTTAGTTTTAATTCTGGTTTTACCGCTCCATTTACTTTATTTAGTAATTGCCACACCTTTGTTAGCACATAAACTTGATTTATTTAGTCGGCCTTATAAACCTAATTAAGCAAATTAATGAGGGCATGATTGGATGTGAAACCCCTTATCAATTATGACCCAAAATTTCAGTTTAAATTTTGACATTTCCTTTTTTCATGTTTTATTCACTCTTTCACTTTTATATTTTTCTACTTTAGGTTTATTTTACTTCATTTTTATGCCGGTTTTTCTTCTATTGTAGGGCCTTTTTGTTTAGCTCAAATGAATGAAATTAATTTTAAATTTTACAGCTCCACATTTTATTGGTGTCCCCACCTTTTATATGATGTTCATTAATTAATTTACGAACTTCATTCAGCTTATTGAGCTATATAGTCTTAACAGCATGAGCAATAAATGCTGTTTGACAAAAATATTTTAAGTCTGTTTACTATGTTTATTGCAACAAATAGTGAAATATTAAGCAGTCTGATTAATCTTAAATAATGTTTGAGCTATTCTTCAAATTATATAATTGTAGGTGTCGTAACCCTCAATTAAATATTTTTGACTACCTATTAATGTTCAACTTTATAAAAAATATGCTTTATGCTTAAGTAATACAATTTGTTATGTTTTACATTGTTTGAATTAGGATTATATTTTTAGATTTTTAGTTAAATGAAAAACACATTTTGTAAAATCTAAAAGTCTTCTAAAATCGCTTTTACTTATGATCATTTGAATTATTTTACTTATTTAAATTACTTACAATCCTCTAAGTGAACTTTATCTCAGCAAGACTTGTGTTCTTTTAAATTACTTGTATTTATTTTCCTCTCAGTGGATTTTTATTCAACAGTCAAAAAAAAAAATAAACTAGAATAGATGGGCTAACAATGGATTACTCAGAATTATCTCGAGTAAATTTGCTTGGCTTCCTCTTTCACGTTGTGTTTATTCTGGCTTTCTTGGGATTATCCCGCCCCTCATTTGTGATCGCACCTTTTGCAACTCGGTTGTTATAATATCCAAACTGGTTGGCGAGGGCTCAATTTGTTTTGATTTGGTTTCGGCAATCACGCACAATAACAAAATCACCGAGATATTCGCTTCACTTTGCTTCGAATTGAGACGGTTCCCTATAGGGCAGAACCGACCGACAACTGACCAGCGGACCGACTACTGAGCCAAGCGATCGCGTCGTCCGTTCGCTTGGGCAGGTAACAAACGTCTGGGTCGCGGGTTTGAGCCATGGTTTCGAGCCAACTCCAACTCTTGCCGCTCTTGGCTGGCATATCCGCTCTTACACACAGAGCCGTCACAAAGGTGAGGCGCTGACTGAGCCCAGTTTTGTGTGTAAATGTGTTAACCACTTTGGCCAAAAAGGTAACAACGAAATGTCAGTGCTTGTCTCGGCACCACTCTCTTAGCCATCTGAGCTCTGCGTCAGCGCCACTGACGGGTATTTGAACTTTGCTTAGCCTTAATGACTGACGGACGGACGATGGATATAGCTGTGGCTGTGACTGTGGCTATGCCGACGGCGACTTTGACTGCCTCTGTTGACTGCCGTGTGTTCTTGAGCTTCTGGCCAAGTGCGGATGTGTGTGACTACGTGCCTGGCATCTGTAGTTAATACTAGATACCCCTAGCCACTTCTGCACTGCGATTCGTGATCTTGATTTATAATGGTTTTAATCTTGAAATATGAAATATGTCTATGAAAATGGACAAACGACCATAATTTTATATAAAACCATTTACTATTCCCCAACTTAAATTAGATATTCATTAATAGGAATACATATTTCCTATAATTATTTTTCATAATTAATTCTAAATTATAAAATTCTAACAAATATTAGTTTAAAAAAAAAAGACTCAAATATTATTGTGAAAAGGTTTTTTAATTTTAAATCAAGGGACAAAAATATGTCTTCTAAATATTTATTAATTAATTATTTCTAATTTTAGAATTTCTTTTTAAATAAATCGCTTACAAAATGGCTTTGAAAAATGTTAAATTTTATAATTTTAATAAATATTTTTATAAGATTAAGAGGCCGACAGTCAATAATTGAAATAATTAAATATTATTATTTACCACCTTTTATAAGCATTAAATTGTTTGATTAACGTTAAATTGAATATATTTATTGATTTAAAAAAAAAAGTTTTAGTTTTTGAAACTTATTTATAAGGCGATTTAAAATCTTTACAGCTTAAATGGTTGATTATTTTAAATTTGAAAATTAATCGTTTCAATTTGAGGTATTTAAAGACAATGTATACAATATTTAGTTCACTTTCGAGTCTCCAAAAACCTTATTGATTATTTTTTAACTATGCTTGCTATAGAGAATTCGTATTTGATGATCACTTTTCTTTCCGTGTTTCTGTTTACTGACCCCCCTCGATATGGTCATCGGAAGAGGGTCAGGTTCTGGCAGGCAGTGGCATTGATTGCGCTACGCCCCAGCATTGATTGCGATTGATTTTCCGCTTTCCCCCCGCTCTTCAATTGCAGCAAACTGACCAACAGGAACCGGCAACGCGATTCAGAACTGACGGAGACCTCGACGGAAAGTAAAACGCTGCGGCAGCAGATTGTGGCACTCAAAGCCAGCCGCGATGAGGCAATAGCAGAGAATCGGTGAGCAAAAAAGTCATTAGCGAGGTGAAGATATCGTAGAACTGCTTCCGCGCTGCCGCAAGTCATTTTTCCTCGATCATTAGGGGGTTTTTTTTTGTAAGTGTGTCCACATCGTTTTGTTGCCCCACAGCCGACTGGTGGACAAATTAAGCGATGCCCAAGTGGAGGCTAGGACGTTGCAGAACAAGCTGGCGGACTCCGAGAAGCAGGTGGCCAACATGAAGCAGCAGCTGCACAAGTACGTCCAGGAGGTGAAGAAGGCCGAGGATCTGCTCACCCAGAAGGTTAGTTTGTGCCCAAATTTAGTGCCTAAGTCCTAGTACCCGAGTCGGCATACAGGTGTGCTCTAAATTAAAGGAAAAGGAGCGCGATGAGATGCTGGACCAGTACCACTGCCTAACACAAGACCAGGCGACGCTCGAGGGAAACAACCAAAGTCTGGAGTGTGAGGTTACCGAGTTTAGGTGAGTCAAACTCGAAATAAATCCATTTCTTTGAAGTTGAATTCATAATAAAAAGGTGTTCTTAAAAAGCGGTCTGTTGCTATCTGTCTACCAAAAGCTTAAAGGCTTGTTGATAAGTTTACCTTTTGCCGAAACCGTCAAAATTAAGGCTTTAATCATTAAAAAGTTTTGATATTTTGTTAAACATTAAATTGCGAAAAATTACAAGACAAATTATTATTATTTATTATATTTATCTTTACTTTGTCATAGATTAAACGTGGTTAATTATTTTAATTCGATTAAATACATTATTTTTAAACAACTGAAATTACTTTTTTTGTGCTTATACTATTATTAAAATAAATATATATAAAATAAAATTTTTTAAAAATTAAAATTGTGTAAAAGTAATGGCATTTGTTAAAAGAACAAACAAATATATATTTAACAAAAACTTTTAATGGTTTTACCAATGAAGTTTATTTATATATCTTATTTTAATTTAATAACTAGGCAAAAATAAAAATTTTTTTACTCAGTTTTTTTAAATGGTTAAATAAAGTTATGTGGAACTTTTTTAAATATATAATATATTTATAAATCATTTTTAACAGTTAAACAAAAGTTATCTTCATTTTACTTAGTTTTTCAAATTTAAGGCTCTTAAAAGTAAAAATAAACTTTTTTAAAAATAAATATAAGAAACAACATTTTGAACAGTTTTAAAATCGAAATATTGCATTTAAATTGATAGTCTTATGGTAAACACTTTAAGCATCGAAGTTAAACTTCTTCTTACATTTGTTCCTTGTTAATACTACATATATTTTAATGCAGGCGGCAGATCTGTGAGCTGGAGTGCGAGGTGCGCAGCCTGAAGGATCAGTTGCAGTGCAGGCAGTGCGCACTGGACGGTATGGAGGTGGAGCTAACCGCCGCCCGGGCCGCGACGAGATGTCTGGAGCGGGAACTGGAGAATGCTCGCGATGATCTGCGAGTCCAGAAGGTGGATCTCGAGGCTCGCAAGGAGCTATGTGACAAACTCGATGTGGAAAAGGGCAAGCTCAACGCGGAGCTTAACGAGGTCAACGAAATCCGTAAAAAGGTGAGCTTCAGCTCCGGTCCTGCTCGGTATCAGTATCTCTATCCTAGCTAGAATTCTCCGCTGTAGTCCACTTTTGGCCTTTCTAACCCTCCTTTAACTAATTAGCTGTATAACTCAAAAGTGCTTGTAAGTAGCTTGGGTATATTTTTGCCAACTTATTTGTATTAAATGATTACAATTTCAGCTTGAAAGGCAATGTGAAAAACTGCGCGAGGAGCTTCAGCAGAGCTCGGCTCTCAATCAGATCACCACCGAAACCACTGATCAGATGCTGGGGCGCTTGCACAACGATCAGCAGCGTCAGGAGGACGATGATATCAGGGCCAAATACGAAATGGACCGACTGCAACGTCAGCTACAACAGACTTTGGTGAGTTATGCCCATGAAGGTTAACCCCATTATGGTTGCTTCATTGGAGAAACCCAATTGCAATCGAGTAACCATTACACAAAAAAGGTCACAAATTAATAAAGCGATTTAAAGGCTTTCGTATTTTTCCTAAATATAATAGTTTGTCTAACGTCTGCTATCCAAATCTATATGAAATACAACTGATTAAAGAGGATGCACTCAAAATAATGTCTTTAAATTATCTTTATGAATATAAAAACCTGAATAATTTAAAATTTTAATAATTTAATTGCGTTAAAGAAAGGTTTTGTTTAATGAAATATTTAAATAAATTAAATATTTTTTCAAATGTCAAAACTCCAAATCTTTATGAAATATAACAATAAAAATTATTTTTAATTTATCTTTATTAAACAAAAATTCGGAACCATTTGAAATTGAATACCCTTGTAACTTAATTACTTAAAAGAAATAAACATAAGGTTTTCTTTAATCCATCAGCAGAGCCAATCCAGTCTAATGTAATGATTAACTTTTTCTGCCAAAACAGAGCCAATTGCAGGAGGAACGAATCCGCTGTAGACACCAGGAGGAGTTGGCCAACGAATTCGAGCAACAGGTTTGCAATCTGCGTCGAAGTCTCGCCGAGGATCGTTTCAACCATGCGAGGTCGCGCGAAGTTAGTCCTCGAGTGCCATCGAAGACCCTGTAACTTTGTATCTGACTCAACTATGGCTGCTTGTTTTATGTTAACTCAAATTTAATGTTTGGCCGGAATATCGAAATTGTAAAAATATATAAAAGATGGGCAACGCACAATAAAAAGGTGTTTCGGTCGAAGGATTCTCATTGAACGAAGCGACCCTCTTTCCGGCACATGGCGGCCAGGTTGACATAGGTCTGGTACATGCAGGGACAGGCATCGAAGGGCGGTACCCGCTTGAAGTCGTCCTGGGGATCCTGCTCATTGCAGCTGGCGAAGTCATCATCGCAGGTGGATTCGATGCATGTGTGCTCCGCCGAACTGCTGGATCCTGGGAAAATTTGGTAGGTATATCAAATATGGCATAAAACCCTTGAAAATCTATGACAACTATGAAAAAACAACAGATAAACCCAAAGAAAATCTTGTGAATATGACCAAAATAATCAAGAATGAACGCTAAAGTCGAGTGTCGCGAAAATTTGATACCCATTGCTCAGCTAAACTTGCGCTGCGTAGGTCTAACTATACCCTGCATGTTAAATCTCAACGGACAGATGGAAGGAAAGGAGAAACACGACTTTTAACTTTGTAAGATCGAAAACGAAAACGCTTTTATCCATCTGTTACATATTTTATAACAAATACAAAATACTCTTTTACTCTACAAGTAATGGGTATTACTATGAAAATTAACAAAAGCAGTATATATAAAGCAAATACAGTGACTATGCCTAATTTCAATTAATATATTATTGTTAATCTTTCAAAACAACTCAAGTGTATAACTTAATCTAAATTATCACTCTGACACATGGAAGTGTTAAGTTGTTGTGTGTTTTGTTCATAACTATCGCCAGACACAACACATTTCCAAATCGAGCTATTATTTTAGGAGTTATTGGCTATTATGTTATGTTATGACGTCACTGCTTATTTGAAAAACGGATCTCTGCCGCTGCTCTGCATAAGATAGGAGCACTGTTAGTGGGGGGATGGTGGGATAACTGCTCGTTTCTAGCTTGTATTGTTGACAACATAGTTTGGTAATTTGTAAGCTGAGTAATGGGTATCTAATTGTCGGGAAACTCGACAATAGCGTTCCCTCTTCCTTTTATTATGTACATATGTAAGTAACTTACTGCAAGTGTGGTTGTCATCCGTACTGTCCGTCTCATTGCCCTGATCCACCGTGTGATACTTGAGGGCCCGTTCCCAATCGA